GCCCTGGGTTCCTCTCGGGGCTCGGCCCGGATCCCCGCCCGAGCTACGGTGCCTCTTGATCCACTCGCGTCCGAGAGCCGGGTCCCGAGCAGCCGGGGGTTTGATCTGCCAGCAGCTGCCACCTGGTCCCCCGCCCTCCCGCTGCATCCGCTCCCCCACACCTGAAAACTGCGCCTGCAAGCACCCGTATCCCCGAGGGCAGGGCGGGTGAGCCCCAGGCAGGACGGGCGCCGCCACGCGGCATTAGGCGCTGCTGGTAGGCGACCGGAGGAGCCGCCGATAGGCGCCGTGCAGTAACTGGATGGTGCCCAACCGTCCCATTCCAACAGCCACGTCTCCTCCCGGAACTACTGCAGTCCTGGGCACCACCATTCCCTCCCTCCCAGCGGGGCTGGCATGGTGCTCTCCCATTGACTCTAAGCTGAGATAACTTCAGCCCAGCTTTCTCTCCCTGTCTTCAAATAATGGGGAGATGTCCCTGTAAGGGGAAACTTCTTGGCATGCAGTACCACTGACACTTCAGTAGCTTGTGCACACCATTTCCAAGTAAACAATGCTATTTCCAAACAATGCTTACCCTGAGCCACTTAAAATACTGCATAACAAGAGCACTTATTGAAGAAGCTCTAAGTCTCCACCAGAGAGCTCTTCGCTCAATTCACTTACCAGTAATGATGTCAGCAGGATTGCCAACTGTGCCATCTACAGAGGGCATTGCTCAGAGGTATGGATTTTTCACACTTCTGAGCCATATAGTTATATCAATATATGTGGGGCAGACCAGCCTTGATTTACAAATATCTTCTCTTTCCTGTTTTTCCCCCAGCTGTGCTCAGAAGAAACACCATAGTAAAACTTTCTTCTCACACTGCTGGTACTCCAAAGTGTCCAAATGGAAGTATCTCTATATAAAAAGGATTTTTCCTGCAGGATGCAGAATGACATCAGTGTGTCACTCTGCGTCCTGCGGGAAATTTTTTTGTCCCTCCACCCTCATCTGCATGGCCTCTGCCCAGCAGCCCTTCACTGTGGTGGTAGGGCTCCACTTGCATGTCCACCCACAGGCACTCTCTTCAGCACCGCTGCACACTGGGCCTGCTTCAGGTTGAGTGCCAGCAGGCACTTGCCCTGGTCCTGCACGTCCATGCTCATGGCCGATCCGGGCAAGCGATCCACTCACATCCCAAAGATCACCCAGGATCATGCCAGCTCCAGTACTCCACTCAGTGCCATGGCAGCAGGGCTCACTCCATGGCCTCCTTGCCGAGTGCTGAAACACAGCCTGGCCCAGCCCAGGCACTCTGGGACAGACAACCAAGCCTGCCGCTCCTTTGTTCTGGGGGAAAGGGCTGCTCAGTGCAGGGACTCCCACTTGGGCTCCTTCACCCAGCCAGGGATGGGGAGCGGGCCCCTCCAGGTGAGCATATTGGGGAGCCTCATTATAGGCACAGTGGGAAATGGGGACACAGCAAAAAGGGGAATAGAGCAGATGCACAGGAACTGGGGAACACAGGAGCCTGAGAGAGCAGAGACACTCAAGACGGGGCTCAGAGAACTGGGCCCTACTCTGTTGAAGGAGATCTCGGGTTCCCACTGCTGTTGTGCTTGCTCGCTCTCTCTCTCTCTAAATTTCCTGCAGGACAACAGAGTGATGTCATCATGTCACACTGCCTCCCTCAGGAAAAATTTTGTCCTGCCGCACCCTCTGCCCTCAGTCATGAAGCCTCCTTCCTCATGGGCAATGTCCTTTTCCTCTCAAGCTCTCAAGTCCAGCAATGGAAGTGTCCCATTCACATGCCCAACCCTTCTCTGCACCCCACTCACAGATGCTGCCCTTAGTCAGGGCAGACCAGAATACAGAGGTGATCTGCAGAGTTCACCTCCCATCCTGAGTGTAGGGGGTAAGAGTCGTCTCACCCATTTTGCTGGTAATTTGCCATCCCCCGGCTCACTGCTCTCTGGCACCACCCTGCTGGCCACTCCTAATGCCTCTCTATAACTGCTCTGCTGGCTTGTGGTAGATATGGCTCTGGGACAAACTTAGTGAATTCAGCCCTTGGCCCAAAACACAGTCCAGCCACAAGAGATCCCAGCATTTACTGGAGTGAATTTACATATAAAAGGGACTCCTTATGGAGCCTTTTTTAACTCTATCATTGAAACAGTGGGGAGAAACAGGTTGAACCAGTCTTACAGCTCACACCTGGTGCTGACTCACCTCCCTCCCCAGCTCAATCTATAGGTCTCTGAAAGACCAGCCTCTGTCCATCCAAGCGTATTTACACTGACAGAGTCTCTTGTTTTAATTTAATGAAACACAGTATGACTTTCTGCATTGTGCATTCCAACAATAACTGCAAGCATTGGTGGTCATATCTTACAATTCCTGTATTTAGTTTTAACACAGTTTGTGACCCCCACAACAGCCAAATTAGTTACAACAGCTGAACATCTAGCATGCCTGAGCAACCTGCTTGAAGTGTATTTACATAACCACACCCAGGATTCCTTTCCCATTCCAGTTGTCTGTAATGGAAGCATTGATTCAGACCCTGCCTACATACACATTCAGCAGACTGCAACGTTAAAAATTGGTGTGTTACAGGAGATATTTTGTCTAAAAGCAATTGCAAGTTATGCATATTCTTAAGCCAATTTTAGTTAAGGTTTATAAGAAAAACATGGCCATTCTTCATCGAGTAGTGTCCCCGAGGGTGCTCCACTCGAGGCGCTGGGCTCGTCCCGGCGCCGCAAACCGGAGGAATTTTCACTAGCAGTAGCCCCCTGCCGGACCGCGCATGCGCGAGTGCCCCTTCACGCCTTTCATCTGAGCGCAGTCCGGTCTTGTCAGTTTCTCTCCAACCGTCCGCAGCTGCAGACGGAGTTAGTTGAGGCTCCCTTCTCCTCTCTGAGGGGAAAGGGAAAAACCTTCCTAGTTATAGTTGTTATTTGGTTAGTGATAGATAGTTATCTGTTACACTGTTCTAGTTGTAGTTCCCCCTTTAAAAAAAAAAAAAAAAGAAAGAAGAAAAGAAAAGCTGCTTTTTCTTTAGCGGTCAGTCAGGGTTTTCCTGACTGAAATTGACTAATAAGCAAAGGACTCAAGAATGCCAGGATCACCCGGCTTCAAGAAGTGCCTCCAGTGCCAGGAGGCTATTCCCATCTCGGATGGTCACTCCCGGTGTGTTAGATGTCTCGGGTACACTCATGTCTCAGCCAAGTGTGGTCACTGCGAGAAGATGACAGCTCGCGCTAGAAAGGATCGGGAGCTGAGGTTGAGAGTCCTTTTGTTCAATAAGGCTCTCCAAGCTCCGGAGGTCTCCGAGCCACACTCTGCACCTCCCGAGCAAGCCCCCAAGATCCACGGGACGCCGAGCGCCACTGCGGACAAGCCGGGGAGCTCTGGCTATGCGCCGAGACTCCCCGCAGGCAAGGCGGGCAAGGGCCGTAGCTCTTCTGCCCCAACTGCAGCCTGCCCCAAAAGCTCCGCTCCGACACCCAAGAAGGGGTCGAGAGCGGAGTCGGTGCCGGCAACGGCTTTAATGGCCATTGCGGAGCTGGCAAGAGAAGCCCCGGCACCGGGAGTTCCGGCGCATGCGCGCCCGCAGCCTGCTGTAACGGCACCCACAGCGCCTTCCATAGGTGCCGCTCTGGGCTCCTCGGTGCCGGGCATATCGGCACCGGATGCACCTCCGCCACAGGAGTCTCTGCCAGTCCAGCCTCCCGCTTTCTCCTTTCCGGGGGATCAAGCTGCACCGAGCCTTTACTCTGCCGTTCACGTGGCAGACTTTGCTGTCTGCTGTTCTGCCACAAGCACCTCCCCAGCCTGCCTGCAATGCCTCGGTGCCAACCAGAGCGCAACAAAAGACTGCAAGGGTCCGGACACCATCAATAACACCGGACAGTGTCACCTTCTCACCTGGACCTGACTCACCTACCTCCTCCCATGCAGATTACCGTCGTCGTATTCACTGTTACACGACCTCCAGGGAACCCTACTATAGGTCAACTCGTCATTCATCGCCACGTCGGTCCTATCGGGACAGCTACTCGAGGTCTCCCTCATGCTACTACAGGAGATCCCTTTCACCAAGATCCCCAAGACGTACAGACTGCATATTCTTAAGCCATATCTTCTCACTGTATGACACAGTGAGAAGATACAGCCGTTCTCCCTGCCGCAGTCGGAGGGAGGACCGATATTATTACGAGAACTCTTCTCATTCGGTGGCAGACGTTCAAGTGGCAGAGGCTTCTTCACTGTCTGCTGTTCTGCCACAAGCACCTCCCCAGCCTGCCTGCAATGCCTCGGTGCCAACCAAAACACAACAAAAGACTGCAAGGGTCCAGACACCATCAATAACGCCGGACAGTGTCACCTTCTCACCTGGACCTGACTCACCTACCTCCTCCCATGCAGATTACCGTCGTCGTATTCACTGTTACACGACCTCCAGGGAACCCTACTATAGGTCAACTCGTCATTCATCGCCACGTCGGTCCTATCGGGACAGCTACTCGAGGTCTCCCTCATGCTACTACAGGAGATCCCTTTCACCAAGATCCCCAAGACGTACAGACTGCATATTCTTAAGCCATATCTTCTCACTGTATGACACAGTGAGAAGATACAGCCGTTCTCCCTGCCGCAGCCGGAGGGATGACCGATGTTATCACGAGTGCTCTTCTCGTTCATCTCACCGCAGAAGGTATTCGCGATCGCGATCACCGCAATCTTCTCGGCATCAATCTCCACATGGTCTGGACGAGTCTACTCCTTATGTTGCGCCACCATCCTCGGCTGGGGATTTGGATTCGCAATATCAGGAGGATAAGCAGGACCACACTCCTCTTCAAGGACAGCAGAGCCCTGATTCCCCAGCGCAGCGTTCCTCATCCTCGCCGGATGACGCTGTGGTCCCTGCGGACTTGTCTCCTACAGAGGACCACAAGCAGTTCCAGGAACTCTTCAAGAGGGTTGCACAATCTCAAGACATCCAGACCACGGATGTACAACAGAAACAGCATCGGCTGCTGAAGAACTTACAACCTTCCCAGAAGTCAAAGCTCGCTTTTCCCTTTGATGACGCTATACTGGAGGTTGCCAATGACATCTGGCAGACTCCGGCCACATCGCTACCAACTAATAAGCGGTCGGATAAGAAATACTTCATAACTCAGAAGGATATGGAGTTTCTGTTCACACATCCTCAGCCTAACTCCCTTGTTGTAGACGCTGAACAGCAGAGAATAAGAACGTCTCAAACCAAAAATTCCTCAAATGACAAGGAGGCTAAACGGCTGGATATCTTGGTCAGGAAAGTATATTCCTCCTCCACTTCTGCTCTGAGGATGTGTAATTTTGCGGCACAATTAGCAAATCACGATTTCAACAACTATTCGAAACTGGTCCTTCTGTTTGAGCACTTGCCGGATTCCAAACATCAGATTCTCAAGGTGGTGATACAAGAGGGCTATACGGTCACCCGAATAGCCTTATAGATCGCCCTCGACACGGCTGATGCAGCTGCTAGATCCACAGCTTCGGCCATAGTCATGCGTCGGGCGTTTTGGCTACACCAGGCCGCTGTCCCAAAGAGTTGCAGGCCAAGGTGGAGGATTTGCCCTTTGATCGCAAGTTACTATTTTCCCAGTCAAACTGATCAGGTCTTCCACTCAGGCAAGGATACACGTACAACTTTGAGGACACTGGGGATGTACA